AGTACAGCGTCGTCATTTTGGATGAAGCGCATGAGAGGACAATCCACACAGATGTGTTATTTGGAGTGGTGAAAGCAGCACAGAAGAGGCGGAAGGAACTGGGGAAGTCGCCACTGAAAGTAAGTGGTTAAAATGGTGGGCAGGAGGTTGCCAGTTGACACACACACACTGCTGTTCATAAGAAACATCAGAGCAGTTTACAGCAATTGCACCTAAAACCATACAATAAAAATTGTATGAAAAGTTAAAATCAGACATTAATTAACTATTGTGGAAATGTGTATTTTCAGTTGCCTGCATAAGCCTGAGAGAATAGAAAAGTTTTAAGCAGGCATTCAGACACTAAAGGCTGTGTTTCTTGCTGTTGTCAAATTTGCCTCACCAGCTCAGGGAACGGCCAGCGATGCTTCTGCAAATGATGTCAGTGACAGAGCTGAAATATAAGGGTTCAGGCGCTCCCTGAGGTACCCTGGACATAAATTGCTGGAGGGCCTCATATCGATCTCTTATACTACTCATCAAGCACAATTCTCAGTAACAAGGGTGGGTTGTGTTTTTCTTACAGATAATCATAATGTCAGCTACTATGGATGTCGACCTGTTTTCCCAGTACTTCAATGGCGCTCCCGTCCTTTACCTAGAAGGCAGGCAACATCCCATCCAGATCTTCTACGCTAAGCAATCTCAAAGCGATTACCTCCAAGCAGCTCTAGTGACAGTTTTCCAAATCCACCAGGTACCACATTAGTTTCAATATTTTTGAATATCTATGGTACAGAATTAACCACATTTTTTATCCTGACCTTTCTCGGGAACAATTGCGCAAACTTTGGTTCTAATATCTTAAGAGGTATTCAAATGAGTGCAGTTTTGAAAGGTTTTGTATGACATCTTTATTCAAAATGACATTCAAATGCATGCAAAATTTGGCTTTGATATATTAAGAGGTGTCGAGACTCATAGCAATCAGACAAGTTTACAAATCAGAGAGCAGATAAAGTATTAATGTAGATCTTCATTTTTCTGTATGTGCATTCAATTTAAATAGAATGCTATCTGCTAGTCTGATTAGCCTCTTCTGACTGCTAAGTGGATTTCCAAGGGCTTAGGCAGAGCAAACTTAACCCGTTCTGCCACCTGCAACCTAATCATTTTAAAGGGCAATACCAGGGATTCAACTTGGGACCTTTTTTGCCTGCACTGCAGGGGGTTGGACTAGATGACCACTGAGGACCCTTCCAACTCAACAATTCTATGAAAGCATGTGCCCTACCATTAAGCTACGGCCACTTTCCAATCATATGTGTCTCATTTCTTTAAAGGAAGCTCCTCCTCCTCAGGATATCCTGGTGTTTCTGACGGGTCAGGAAGAGATTGAAGCAATGACCAAAACCTGTCGGGACATTGCAAAGCATCTTCCTGATGGTTGCCCTCAGATGGTGGTGATGCCTCTCTATGCTTCTCTCCCTTATTCGCAACAGCTCCGGGTCTTCCAGACTGCACCCAAAGTAAGTACAGTGGTACCTCGGGTTACATACGCTTCAGGTTACATACGCTACAGGTTACAGACTCCGCTAACCCAGAAATAGTGCTTCAGGTTAAGAACTTTGCTTCAGGATGAGAACAGAAATCGTGCGGCGGCAGCAGGAGGCCCCATTAGCTAAAGTGGTACCTCAGTTAAGAACAGTTTCAGATTAAGAACGGACCTCCGAAACGAATTAAGTTCTTAACCCAAGGTACCACTGTAGTTGTTTATTTCCTTGACATCTGATGGGAGGACGTTTCACAGGGTGGGTGCCACTACTGAGAAGGCCCTCTGCCTGGTTCCCTGTAACTTCACTTCTCATAGTGAGGGAACTGCCAGAAGGCCCTCGGTACTGGACCTCAGTGTCCGGGCAGAACGATGGGGGTGGAAATGTTGCTTCAGGTACACTGGGCCGAAAATGTACTGGGAGCCAATATAGGTCTTTCAGGACCAGTGTTATGCGGTCTTGGAGGCCACTCCCAGTCACTAGTCTAGCTTCCGCATTCTGGATTAGTTGCATGTAGTTTCTGGGAGATAACTAGAGCTTGCACCACTCTGGCGAGATAGTCCGTGGGCAGGTAGGGTCTCAGCCTACGTACCTTGCAGGGTTGTTTGTGAGGATAAAGTGGGGAACTTCCAGCCCCCTTTTGCTGTTCCTCCATATGGTTTTTTGACTTTAAACCAGGCTTGGACTGGACAACCGTTTAAAAAAATAAGCTACCTGTTATGTACTGAGCTGAATCCTAGAACAATAGCATCCAGAATGCAGCAGCCTGATTGGTCCGCAGGAGCCACCCAACCCAGCTCCAGGTGGAAGTGAATCAGCGACCTGATTGGCCTGCAGGAGCAGTCAATCAGGCTCCTGCATGAAGTGAATCAGCAGCCTGACTGGCCTGCAGGAGCAGCCAATCAGGCTTCTGGAGGAGGTGAATCCACAACCTGATTGGACTACAGGAGCAGCCTGGAATTATGGTAGATGTTTTGGGGAAAGTTTCATTCATTGCTACTATGAGCTGAATAAAGAGCATGAAATTCACACTCAACTACGAGTATATTTCACTACCCCACCCCCTTCTATGATGTAGGCTCCGTTGCTGTGGGTGACATGTGCAAACTGATAATTTTCTTAGGCAGTGTCTGATCTTCTCGGCTGTTTTGTGCAAAGCGGAAATAATAGCATTGTTGGAGCAGTGTGCTCTCTACTGGACCCAGGCCCCCGGAGACTGCTCAAAACTGATACCCTCTGGGTGCATTTATACTCTTTGAAACAACTAACTCTACTTGCGGCCCTGCATCTTCAATACTGGGCTCTTGTACTGGGATATGTAAATCATGAATGCAATACAGCAGAAAGTGCCTTTTGCTAGGAGATTAATGTTCTGGATGAGATGCAGCACAGTCAGAAGTTCATTACCGATGAAAAAGTGATCGAAAGTATTAGGAGGAACAAAGAAGATGGCCCTGCTAATTTATGGATCAGCACGCCTGTTCACGGATTTGTTGGCAATATAGACTGTCAAGCTTGGGAGTCTCTTTAAATTTTAACGTTTAATTACCAATATGTGCTTCTGTTCTGGCTGTCAACCAATTAAAAGGTTTCTCATAGATCGACTCTGGCTTTTTAAAGCGACTGCTCAATCCGTTCCATTTGCATACACTTGGATGTTGATAAAGCTCAGCACAGATAGTTTTGCAAACTTCCTGGAAGAAGGAGAGGGGTGGGGACTGCATTTCACGAAAGAGGTTTACTCACTGTGAAATACTTTCCAATGATAATTCGAGGAGTGGGGCGGGGATGCTCTCTTATTCTTAGCTATGCGACAATTTGGATTTGCAATGCCAACAGTGTGAATCTTTCTCATGCCTACTCAGAAGTCCTACTGGTTACACTCCCGCTACAGCTCTGCACACTCCCCAAGGGTTTTTGCCCGGCTAGAATGTGTCTTTGAACTCTGATAGTGCCTCTTTCTTGCCTACACACATGCAGAGACGTGTGTGTAGAAACCTCTTGACTTTTTGCGTGGACGGAATCTATCCCACTGTGCAAAGGAGTGACACATGCTGCTCTAACCACATTTATGTTAGGGGCTGGACTGAGGAGGAGCCTTCCCAAGAACAGGAGGACAGCATAGAATTACAACAGCCATAGTTCAGAGGCTGCAGAGGGGAGGAGCTGGGAAATATCGTAAGAGGAACAGCAGGAAACAGCAGCACCAGGGGAGAGACAGCTGACAGACTCAGTGTCTTTGGAAAACATTCCTGACCCCACCCCTCCCAGGACAAGGCGGGCATTGAGAGTAGTAGAACAGAAAGCTCAGATCAGCCAACATAGGGGTGATGTATATGTTAGCAAACCAGACCTCCAAAGCTGCATTATGTGATGGCCTGGGACTCGGGCTCGGACTCGGAGCCAGAGGAGACTCAGTCTGCACCAGATCCTTTGCCTCAGGCGGCAGCTGAACCTAGTCTGGGGCTTGATTCTGAAGAGCCCCAGTCTGCACAGGTTCCCCTGCAACAAACACCAGCTGGGCCGAGTCAGGGGCCTGAGCCTGCCCTGGCTCCAGATGCGGGGAGGACCTTGTTGCCTTCAGCTGGGCAATCACTTACAGCTGCTCCACTACCGGTTGGGTCAGGGGAGGCTGAGATGGCCTCTGGGTCTAGTAATCCACCAACATCTCCTGAGCTGTAGAGACAGGTCTGAAAGAAGGAGAGACCTGAGTACTCACAGGAGGAGTGCTTGCCTTTGGGTGAGACAGGAAGGTGAGTCACTGGGGGATCAGGACCGGCCATTACCCCGACAGAGATAAAAGGCTGCTGGACCCCGCCCAAGGTTGTGGGAGCAACGTTGCTGTTTGCCAGAACCTGCCTGTGGTCTTGTGACTGACCTTGCCTGGTTTCCTGCCTTGGCCCTGTCGGATTGACTCCTCGCAGAACCCTTGGATTTGGGACTGGACCTGGACCGCGTTACTTGGGTTACCCCCGGGCCCAGCACACATTGTATGCTTTGTGTGATTCACACGCCTGTCTGTGAGGGGAGCGAGAGAAGGGAAGACAGGCTTATCTCTCTTCCGGTATGAGACTGTAAAACTGTACTTTCACTTTTACGCTGTGGATTCTTCTGCTTTCGGAGCTGATGGAGAGCACCATGATTGCTTGTCTGTATATTCTGTAAATAAATTAGTAGTTTGGAACTACAATGTGTCTAACTTCTTGCTGTGTTGAGCCAGAAGGATAGCGTGCTTACACCAGCTGGTGTAGGTCGCTGGGAGTGCCCTGGAAAAGAAGGAGATGCCTTTTTCAGAGCTACGCTCACCGGAGTACGTCCAGAGGAATGGGGGCTGCAGGCACCCCAGGGTGTTTTCTCCCAACAGTATAATAGGAGAGACGGAGGGGTGGTACTTGGAGCATCACCGTTATTATAAGAGAGACCACATTCCTTTGTCTCTCTCTGTGAATATTGAATAAATGACTTGGTAAAGAACTCTTCTTGTTTACCTGCTTCTTGGCTGCTGCTGTGGGAGGATAAGATTCCCTGAAGCCTGACAATTTACCTTTCTCCCGCCTAATTTTTGCCTCTGGCCTACCTACGCTCTCCTCCTCAGGAGGTTGGCTATAAAGGTAAAGGTAAAGGTAAAGGTAAAGGTAAAGGTACCCCTGCCGTACGGGCCACTCTTGACAGACTCTAGGGTTGTGCGCCATCTCACTCTGAGAGCCGGGGCCAGCGCTGTCCGGAGACACTTCCGGGTCACGTGGCCAGCGTGACGAAGCTGCTCTGGCGAGCCAGAGCCGCACACGGAAACGCCGTTTACCTTCCCGCTGGTAAGCGGTCCTATTTATCTACTTGCACTCGAGGTGCTTTTGAACTGCTAGGTTGGCAGGCGCTGGGACCGAGCAATGGGAGTGCACCCCGCCGACCTTTCGATCGGCAAGCCCTAGGCGCTGAGGCTTTTACCCACAGCGCCACCCGCGTCCCTACGGACGCGTATAGGTTGGCTATAAGCAGTGCCTTTTTTCTGGGGTACTCATGGGTACCCAGCACAGCATATATTTTTTTCCTTACAAGAAAAGCACTGGGCTCAAGACAAAGGAGCGTGGTACTTGGGCCTAAGTGAAGGCAAACAAGCCTCACCCAGCTTTACCCCAAATTTCAATGTTAGCTAGAAATAATAAGTTCTCCTCTCCTTCATCTCTTCCAAATCAGTCAACTACTATTTTTCATGCATGCACATAGACACTCCTCTTAGGCAGGCCATCACCTGCCCCAAGTCCAGTTGGGTATCTCATTCAAAAGCACAGAGAGGCCCACAGCTCTCAAGAGACCAGCTCCAAACTACCGTGTTTTTCGCTCTATAGGACGCACCCGACCATAGGACGCACCTTGTTTTAGAGGGGGAGAACAAGGGGGAAAAAATTCTCCCCCTCTCTTCTCAGTGCCCCTTCAGCGAAGCGGCAGGAGAAACGGAGCCCCTTCCATGTCTCCTCCCACTTGGCTGAAGCGGCGCCGTGCAGCTCTCCCTCTCTGCTGAAGCCAGAAGAGTCTTGCTCTCCCGGCTTCAGCAAAAGGAACCCGAAGCCTGCAGAGCGCAGCGGGAACTCGTGCTGCGCTCCGAAGGCTGCAGGCTTCAGTGAAAGCAACGTGAAGCCTCCGGAGCGCGGAGGGAGCGCTCCCTCTGCGCTTCGGAGGCTTCGCATTGCTAGCGCTGAAGCCAAGGAGCCTGCATTCGCTCCATAGGACGCACACACATTTCCCATTAATTTTTGGAGGGGGAAAAGTGCATCCTATAGAGCGAAAAATACGGCATTCTGTTCATATCAACTACTGATGGAACACCAGTGGGACATTTTAACCTATTAACTAGCAATCAGGGATGCTTTCTCTACATTCTGAACTGCAGATCCGGAATTGAGCAGGGGATGTTTATAAAAGACCTTGATGCCCCTTCCAGCTCTAAAATATGCTCAGTTTTGCTGTGTCCTGCGTCCAACAGGTTGGAAATCTTATTTTCTGAATTCTTGGAGAATTCTCATTATCTGAATTCACCGTGTGTCTCT